ACCCCTTTTTGTCCCTCATTGGGTATAACTAAAGGCTAAAAGGATAAAGGAGGACTCCAGCTGTCTGCTGAGAACCTGCATTAATGTGGGACTTGAATAGTAAAAGTAAAAACTTCCCTCTGGCATGCCAGACTCGAGCAGTTATCGAAAGGAATTTCAGTGGTGGAACATTTCTTCGCCCTCTTTAACTCAGTATGAATATTCTTCTCCGCTGTCTTTGGTAATTGGATTTGACTGCAGTAAACAAGTTAAGAATTCATAGTAAATGGTTTGTTGTTTCTCATTCTGTATAGTAAACAAAGCTCGGGAACAGCTCAAAGTGTTTGAATATTCAACCCTCACCAAACAAACTGCTTACCGAGTGTTTGTGAGAGTGTGTGTGTGGGCATATTTTTGAAGATAAAACCAAATTGGATTTCTCGCTTGTCTTGAGTTTTGGTCTCACAAAATGAAAATGGATCACTTTGGATCATTTTTCCTGCTTCCATCAATCATTTTAGTTAATTAACGCAGTCATCCATCCTGCATCAAATCTACAAGTTAACCGTCTTTGAACGATGGATCTCATCAGCACTGAGGCGTTTCTTATGAATGGATTTTTCAACATGCGACACAGAAAGATTACAAATGTGGTGTCCTCCATTATCTTTATCCATTTAAGGCATCAAACAACAGCATTGTTTGCCTTATTTAACATCCAACATGACATTCATATACACTAAAACACTCTCTGTATCATGCAGCTCCTAAGAGTCATTTGCCATCAAATTGCTGTCAGGTCAGACCAAGGCCAAATATCTTTGTTAAAAAAAAAAAGGGTTTGACCCAGGAGGTGTTGTCTGGTGGTGCACATAACATTTAGTTTAACTAGTGGATTTTGCACTTCAGCATTGGCTTAATGCTAATGAGAATAAATCATATCATTTTCAGGTACAGTGGATGTTTGTTAGGGTAGGGAATCTGTGGGTGTCTCGCGATTTGATTTCGATTCTTGTGGTCACGATTTGATTCAGAATCGATTCTGGATTCATTGATCCGTGGATTCAGTCTATTCATGAATTAGTTCATACTTCAGGATGTACACCAGTCATCTGTGAGACTGGCTGAATGGGTTAAAGAGCTAGCCTTAGCGCTTAGCAGGGAGTAACTGATTAGCCCCCTCACCCCCCCCCCCCCAAAAAAAAAAATATATATATTAAATTGATTTTTGGAAGTTATGAATCAATTTTATATCTTAGAAGAGAAGAATCTTGATTTTTACATAAATCATTTTTTTCCCCACATCTAATGTTTTTGTTACTGGGCTTTTTAAGGGTATACTTCCAGACTCTTTAGCCCCTTTCACACTTGCACTTGCACTCCTGAAAATTCTACAATTCAAAATGTCCAGACATTTTCCCGGCAGGCTGCATGTGTCATCAGAAACTGATCTTTTTTCACCCACAATATATGCAGTCTGTACCTACCAGCCTCTACCTACCGCAAGCATGTTGGCATCATTCACATTTAGCGGAGTTCTGCTGCTTTAAACCTTTCACCGCTCACTTTGGTGGCCCCTATGATGTTTTCTATGGCTCTGTCTCTATTGCAGAAACATTTTTGTGAATGTTGTGGTGTTGTTTATCCAAAAACAGTCACCATTATTAAAACAATTCTGTAAAATATCTGGCCCTGGATCTCTTGAAAATAATCTAGAAAATGTCAGGAGTTCATGTGTGAAAGAGCCTGATGTAGACTTTAGTAGAGCTACAGTCAGTGCAGTCCTAAATGCTTCTTGCACCAGCCAATTTTCAACAACAATTGTGGATTGATTGTCTTGTTAAAGATTTGTTGAGCAAGTCTCTTAAAAATTGGTGGTAAAATACAGATTTTCTTTGGGATGATGTTTAAATGTTTGTGAAAGGATTCATGAGTCTTTTTTTGTATCTTATTCGGCTGGTGCTGCTGACAGTCTGTTTACGTCTGTCAATATTTTCTATTCTGCCAAAGCTGAGGATGTTTTCTGTGTCCACAGCGCTTAAAGTGTTCCTCTCAGTTAGCGCTGAATCATATCAGTCACTCCTCCATTTAAAGAAGCTTCCTCTGTTGCCTGAAAATGTTCCACTGTTTCAAAGCAAAGACAGCAATCCTGTTAATTATCCTTTACTGAGCAGGCTGAGTGTCATTGAAGGTGTCAGAAAGGAGCTTCTATGTTAAAAACTGTGAATAATGTGTCCCTTTTAAAGAGACACTTCAAGAGAAAGTGAGCTCATTTAATGTGATCGTAAATGCATGCCACACACACACACACGCACGCACGCACGCACACACACAGCTTGAAGAGACTCCTGCCTTGCTATTATGTCATTATGTGAAAAAGCACCAAACAACCTGTCGACTTGGATGATTTCCTTTAATTAACCTAAAGGATCCAGCTCAGACAGGCCATCAGTCATTCATCCTCTTGTGTAGTCTGTGTTTGAGTGTGTGTTGACATTGTCAGCGTGTCACCAGAAGGAGCGACAGATGGCCAGGCGTTCTGGCATCAGTTCCTTAAAGCGGGTTCAGGTTCAATTTCATCAGGTGTCGACTTGTTTGTATACCACATCCTGCGTCGGAACTACCGGTCACTTTTAAGCACCTTTACCCCGAGCTCAGTCAGAAAGCTCATTGTTCAGACTCTGACGTCTTGAACATTTTTAGATGTCCGGCAACCTGTTGCTATGGATCCAAGTAATAGCTGGAAAAACAAGAGCCAAATGTTACACGAGCAGTTAAAGTTTGACTGGATATCATTCTTAAAGCAAGCAAGAAAGCACTCACTCCTTGTCTCATCTTCATTATCCTTGTTTTTGCACCAGAGCTGATGGTCTCTGTGGGATTGCAACAAATTGCAATTTGTTGTCGGATTTAGTTTCAAGGTTTGCTTTGTTTCTAATGAGAGGGGGGGGGGGAATCACTGAAACAAAACCACAGCTTATTCCTCTTATCTCTCCCCAATTGACTTAAATCTCATTGCTTCCTGCTAAATTCCGTTCACTTCAGTTTAGTGATGGGGGGGGGGGTGTAACGGTTTCTCAGAGGTCACGGTTAGGGATTAGGGTTTCAGTACGGGTTGGGTTCAACCGGGAACATCAACAAAAAGGTCCTGGATTAATAGTTCAACTTTCTGTCATTTATTTAGAACTGGCAGTATGTGCAGGCTACAGGTTGTTCCATCTTGTGTCATTAAGAAACTTCCTGTGAGCATGTAGTGTTTATAACACTGAACAAATAAAGAGGGAAACAAAATAATATGATGCAAAAATAAAAGCCAACAAAGAAATTAATAAACAGATCCTGATTTGAAAACTTGAAAAATGCAATGTAGACTATAAGACCAAATCAAATGAAATTGATGCCTTTAGGAGCGATGTATCATTTGTGATTTATGACATGTGCGGTCAATGTGAGATTGCTATGTGTTTAGCGGGAGGTCTATCCATCTGCAGCAGTGGTTATTCGTGCTCACCTCTTGTGTATGCTAGTAAAGGACTACAGGCTGGCTTAAGCGCACATTGTAACGAGGCTTGAGCACTTTTAATTCACAATTGAACCCAAGATCTTCTACCGCTGCATATTATGCACGCACAGCCTTAAACATGCGTCAACATTGGAAATGCCTTTGACCCGCTCTGCCTTCACATCAAGAGGCGTTATAAAACAGCAGGACAAGTTGTTGGACACCTGTTTTTGTTTTTTTGCCAAGCTCCAGTGTGGATTGAACCCCACTGTTGCACTCATTTCTTTTGTGATTGGTCATTCTCAGTGAATAAGGAGTGCTTTAATCCTATATCCATCAAAAACAAACAACAGGAAGTAGTATAATATATCATCATATTTTCTACTTTTATTTAAAACGGGTTCCTTCAGATGTATAGGCAGATATAGGTTTGATTCTTCAATTTCACGTCATTAAAAAAAAAGGTGCTAATGCTTTATTTCAGCCACGATAAAGGCGCCATATCTGCATAATCAAAGCATGTTTTCTCCTGGTTGAAAGATGGAGAGAGCACAGTGCGTGCGACCGGCTACTCGAGCCATGAAACAATTAGGATGCCTGATGGCGTTAGATGACGGAGAAACTGAGTCCCAGAGCTCATTATAGTCTGAGTGGAGAGTTTCAGTGCTGCCGATCTGCATTCTCAGCGCCGCTCGTTTCACACTGGTTCAACTCATCAACGAGTCCACATTTCAGATTCAGATGCTTCTGTTGACGATGTCTTGTTCTCAAAGGCTTTTTGTCGATGCTGTTTCTTGTCCTGATTATGTTTATTTATTCATCAGTCGTTTCTTCTCTCTATTTTTCTGTTTATCACCATCACACTTGTAACTTCTTTTTTGTCAACACAAGTTTGGAAAAACTGTTTTTTTTTTTTCTTACTTTAAGGGGAACTGTGTGTGGTAAAACTTTCTGCCCAAATTTAGCAAATTATGAGCCTGAATGAATAATGGAGATTTAAATTACAGTGGAATTATTTCAGCCAGCAGCAGAAAATGGGCAAAAATGAATAATAATAATAATTTATTGGATTGTGCAATTAAAGTTCTTTCAAGGTGGCAATTATCTTCTGACAAACTGCTCCAAAATTGACGTCTTTTTGTGGCTCTTTGTAAAATGTTTGATTTGCTCCGAATATTCACATAAATTCTCTCTCTCTCTCCTCTCTCTCTCTCTCTCTCTCTCTCTGTCTCTCTCTCTCTCTCTCTCTCTCTCTCTGTCTCTGTCTCTCTCTCTCTCTCTCTCGCTCTCTCTGTCTCTCTCTCTCTCTCTCTCTCTGTCTCTGTCTCTCTCTCTCTCTCTCTCTCTGTCTCTCTCTCTGTCTCTCTCTCTCTCTCTCTCTCTGTCTCTGTCTCTCTCTCTCTCTCTCTCTCTGTCTCTCTCTCTCTCTCTCTCTCTGTCTCTGTCTCTCTCTCCTTCTCTCTCTCCTCTCTCTCTCTCTCTCTCTCTCTCTCTCTCTCTCTCCTCTCCCCAGTGTCAGTCTTCAGAGGAGGCCTCGCTGCTGATCTCCAGCCCCAGGATGCTGCTCCCTGCGTCGGGTGCGCTGCCACCACCACCTGCCCTCTCTCTGTCCACCACCAGATCCAGCTGCTCCAACAGCAGCTCCAGCAGCAGCAGCAGCAGACACAAGTGGCTGTGGCACAGGTGCATCTCACACACAAAAACACAAAAGCACACTTTTCACATGATAACTTTTTTTTATCATTGGCAAATGACCAAAGTCGAAGGAGAGTAAATCAAATTTGAGTCTTACATATTTTATAGATTCTAGTGGCAGCGGGAAGGGTTTTAGGCAGTAACAGAGTATCTGTGATGGAGCATGCACAGTTAATTTAAAAAATCTGATTATACGTCTTATGAATTTGTTTTGCAACCTTCCACTGCAGCTATAAATCTGACTGTGTGGTAATTTAGGTTTTGCATTTCACACTTTGCATTTATCCTGTTTGCAGAGAGATTGCAACCCAGATTCCTTCAATGCCTGCTGATAATGTGACGGGCATTACCATAATAAGTGGTACTTTAACCTTGACTTCACTGTGTGTTGCTGTGGGAACCGTTAGACCGGCCGCTGTGTTTCTTTTATGAAGCTGCACGGCTTCAGTTGAGTCCGCGTGAATACAGACGAGCTGCATCACGCCTGAGTCAGTGATGCATCGTTTGCTGCTTTTGCACCCAAAGGTCTTTTTTGGTAACCATACACTGTAAATGTTAATGGACGAAGCCTGAGTGACGTCACCCATCTGTTAAATCAATTCTACTTCTATCTATACTTGAACAGGATACAGGCGGGACTTTATCCCAACACAAGAAATTATTCTCAAAGTTTTGTATTAAATGAGAAACTTAGCAACCATGACCACACTGCATTGAACAAAACAAAAAAAAAATGAAACAAGATCAATTGGAAAAACTCAGGAATCATTTACAAAGTGAATTCATTTAAAAAGTTATTTGCAAGTTCAACCCAGTATATAAAGCCTGCTATCACGGAGCCTGAGCGGCTGCAGAGGGAGAGGTGGCGTGTGACAGCGATGGCTTCAGGCGGTATGAGCTTAATCAACAAACACACGCATACACCCATATGCAGTTCGTCAGCCTGCTGCTTGCAAAAAAGGCCTCGAGATGTGAAACTGCAATTTCACAACACTTTTTCTCACGCAAACTTCTGACCCAGAAGTGTCCCAGACAGTTAAACAGAGACGTCTCACAGCTTCCTCAGACAGACACGGGGGTCCTGATGAAACCGGCTGTCACACTGAAGCAGCCTCTGCCTCTGTCTTAACCTCGAACCACGATGGGCAGACTGCGGCTCCGACTGACAGCTCTCACATTTTGGATTGATCGTGCCCAGACATAAATATCATTAATTATACTTTTGATAAGGCCAGCGGTCAGTGGCTGCTCTGCTGTAGATCTAAAAAACTGCTCTGGAAGTATTTCACCTAAAGTGGAATATTTCACATGATTTTGTTCTACCCTGAGAGTGCTTTTGTGTGACCTTGGCTCCTTTGCCATTTAGTAAAGGTTTCCACAGTGGGGCTGACCTGAGCTGCTTTTAAAGAGGGACCACTCTGCATCTCAATTAGTTTAGAAAGTTATAATGCTTTATGCAGTTGTAGCTCTCAGTTATATCTCTTGAATCAAGTATATTTAAAAGCATTTAAACCAAAACTAATTAAAACATTATTTTTTACTGGACAGCTATGAACCTCCATGATGATTGACGTCTGTGAAAACACCCACAATCTCACACACAAAGACGATTCACATGTTTCAATTAAGGAACGCACAAAGACACACCTTTCTGTTAAGTGAATGTAATGGGAAGCAGAGGCGGATCCAGATTTTTCTGACTGGGCTGGCCCAACTGAGCCAATGACTTATGCAGGGGTGGCAAGAAGTTTGTACACACACAGGAATGAATAGCATTTTTTTTTTATTTTTTTTTAGCATTTTTATCTCCACTAATCTTAGATCTTCAATTGATAAACATAAAAATATCTAGAAGATGTAACACTCCAGTGAATAAAAAAGGAAACTAAAATGGGGCGCCAGTGTCCAAGTGGTTAGTGCTCATGCCCCATAGAGGCTGTAGTCCTCGCAGCGGGCGGTCCGGGTTCAAATATGACCCGTGGCTCCTTTTTCCCACATGTCATTCCCAAATCTCTCTGTCTGTGATTTTTGGCTTTTTATCCACTGTCCTATCTCTACAGTAAATGCATGAACACCTCCACAAAATAAAAAACACAAAAAAAACATGACTATTCAAAGTCTTTTTTTTTGTTTGGGGCATTTTTTGCTTTTATTAGATAGGACAGCGGAAGAGAGACAGGAAGTTGGAATCAAACCAAGGGCTGATCGATGAGGACTATAGCCCCCATACATGAGGGCGCACAACATAACGGCCCGGGCTACCTGGCACCGCTCATAGCTTAATTCTTAAAGGACCCAAAAATAAGATATATGTTCAAAGCCGCAATTTAAAATACTGACGAGAAGATATTGTCCTACACTGAGATGCAAAGAAAGCTACCAGCAGCCTTATGCGACACAGCCCAAATATTTAATCATCACAAGTTCTGCCTCTGACGAGGAAAATAGCCAATTACAATTTGGGATTTTGAGGCGGCATCTGTGGTGGCTCCTCCGATTTTAAACGTGGCACAGGCTACTTCCAGGCAAATCCACCAGCTGTTAAGACCAAGAGTTTATTATGAGAGGAAAGTGACTGTTTCGACTGTTTGTGAGTCCTCCCTCATTCTCCCAAATAAAAAGTTGCTCAGACAGGTCGGACTAAACTTGCCTGAGGCTGCTTCTAACCAGCTGTAATGAGGGGGGGGGGGGAATTGTCCTTCACCACTGAAGGTCAAACAGTAGAAAGTAACAGGCTGAATCAGTGATTACTTGGCTGACACACAAGGATAATGTTTGGCTTTTCATCTGTGCTTCTATGATATTGTTGTGTTCGGGCGTGTGTATGTCTGTGTTTGTGTTATTGAGAGCTCATAATTTTTTTTGTGTGTGTGGGGCGGGGGGGGGGGGGGAGAACATGTTCCCCGGTGACTTTGCCTCAGTTTCACTCCAGAAAATAGGCTGACGTTGTTTTGTTTTCACTCTTCTGGCTTTTAAAGTGTCTCGACTGTGTGTTGACATCATTTCACAGGATCACAAACTCTCCAGCTCAGTCATGATTTGATTAAATTCGAACACCAGGCCCCCCCCCCCAAGTGCTTTTACAGATTGGAGGGCAGCTCTGTCCCAAGTTGTTGAACAACGCCACCAAAACAAAACAACAAGTTAGAAGCAAAGATAAGTGGAACAAACCAGCTATACTGAGCTGTTTGAACATCAAGTAAAAGACCTTTTAGATTTTCACAAACTCAGATCAGGTGCATCATCCAAATGATTGTCAGTCATAAACATCTGATAGCAGTGTTTACTGGGCTACTAAGGAAGGGCTTAGTGGCGCGTTTACGGGGCTACTGAGTTAGCTCTCAATGAAAGACTGTAAATAAGAAATGGACCTAGACATTGTGACACAGTGGTTTGTGCATTTCCATTTGGAGGTTTGGTATTTTTGCCATTGCTATCTTGTTTTCTTGTAACTACAGGATTTATTTTGAAGTGAAATAAGAAACTTCTGGTTCCACAGAATCAGGAACTCCCTACGGATCTGAAATGGAAAGAGCTAAAGCGGACTGTAAAAATGTTTGATGTCACAAGGTGGATATGAAATATGGACTGGAGCTTGCACTTTTCTAGTCTTCTGACTACTCAAAGCGCTTTTTACACTGCAGGTCACACCTACCCATTCACACAGAGGCTGCTGTGTTCTATGTCCATCAGAAATGTAGGGTTAAGTGTCTTGCTGGAGGACCATCAACATATGGCTGCAGGAGATGGCGCTGTGCTCAAAAAATCCAAATGGCAATACATCGTCATGTGGGCCTTGCCAATACATGTATTGATCGCAGGTGTTACAGAATCGATACGGCTGCAAAGCTGTGATGACAGTTTTGAAAGACAATTGACCTGCGGTGGAGTTCACTATAACACCATCGCCACAGATCTGGGATTTCAATATTTGAATTTATTTCTAGGATCTCTGAGGCCAGAAGCCAAAAGTATACACTGGACATTAATAATGTTAACCAAACAAACCTTCAGTCCTGACATTTCTTCCAGGCTTAAGAGACAAAAGTGGCCAACTTGGAACCATTGAAAATCAAACAACCTCCAGAGACTCTGTGACCAAACCCAGCAAGAGGATATAAACTCTGGATGCTGAACTCTGCTGCAGAGCCTGAGCAGAGGTCAGAGTTAATATGGTGGTAATTTAGCGAGCTTGCCAACACGTCTCATTCAGGGCTGAGTGGAGGTGGCGATGGTTAATGAAGATAAATAAGCTCTATCATTGCTTAATAACATTTGCCATCTCTTCGTCTACCTTGTTTAATCATCTTTCCTTCAGTCCTTATTTTGTCTTCCTTAAATCCTACATTACTTCCCCTACTTTTGAACTTGTAATATTTTCCTCTCCTTCTCATTCCTGTCTTCCCTCCAACCAGTTCTCCTGCCTCCTACACCTGCCTTTTCTCTTTCACTTCCCTTTTCATTCGCCAGTCACGTCAATCTTTTTGCTTTGCACATACTGCTCCCTCCCTCTCTCTCTCACATGCCGTTGTCTTAGATGTTTCTCTCTTGAAACATTCAGCGCTCTCTCATCCCCCAATACTAAGCGTTAAGTGCTTTTCTAAGAGTTTCCTTATCGTCTCACCACCACAACGATCATTCACCCCTTCTTTTTACCCTTCCAAAAAAATTGAGGCGAGAACAGAGACATCACAGTGTTGGAGGGGTTTCAAACACCGCCACATCAAAAGGGGCCTGGCGTGGGCCGGGAATGCGATGATGGTAATCCTGTGTGAAGAGTACATCCTCAGCAACAAGGCCTGTGGAGTCGCACAACGCACCAGCGACGGTCCTAATCCCCTTACACAGAAAGAGGGAGTCACTGTTTACAGTCATGTCTGATGGAGGAATCATTTGAACTGCTTTATTTCCACTTGCTGGGAGTTCTGCAATTTGACAAGATTAGAAGATGATCCACGAGATCCTGATGTTTTTTTTTCTTTTACGCT